TTTTCTTTTGAAGTGACCTCTACACCCAACATGGGACTCAAACTTATAACCCCGAAACCAAAGTAACACATTCCACCAACTGAGCCAGCCAGGTGCCCCAAAATATTATTTTTTCCCCGTTTCCTTCCTTGGTAGAAAGTGGAATCAATAACTGGTCACAGCACATTCATAATCACTGTATTTTTTGACCCTGATGAAAACAATTATTTGGATGGTGTTCTGGCACTGTGAATGGTGACATTTACATTATTCAGTAACTTTTGCGTGTGGGGCAGGAAGAGAGGGATGGAATCCAGAGACACTGCACACATTACATCCTATCTTACCACCCCCCCTTTTGTGACCCTCTTTATATACTTTTTTGTTAAAATAAAAGCATTGTTGCTAGAAAGAAAGAAAGAAAGAAAGAAAGAAAGAAAGAAAGAAAGGAAGGAAGGAAGGAAGGAAGGAAGGAAGGAAGGAAGGAAGGAAGAGAAAGAAAGAAAGAAAGAAAATGGAATTAGCCGTAAACTGCAACAGAACAAAAGATCTATTAGCTCAGATGTCTTTATAGCCAAAGGAAATCGTAAGAATCATCTGACTGTACATTCCCAAAATGGCATTCTTCCTTTAGGTTCTTAAGAGGTTTCCAGGATCGCTATGACAGACTTCTTGAATACAGACCTTCACAAAGGTCTCTAAGGGATGGATGGACCTTGTAGATAGCATTTCCCAACTTTCACATGGGCTAGGGAAATTGTCCACAGACCACAGTTCAGGAAACCACTGATTGACTCCACACCCACATTTACAGATGAGGAAACTGAGCACAAGGGGGATTAAGTCACCCGGCTTGGAGCTTATTGTTCTAAAAGGCACCATTACGATGACAACACTTGCCCCCACTTTCCCACCAGGCTTCCCCACCGAGTGGCCTCTTCCTGCTGTTTTCCCAAAAGCTGAGTTTATGAGGGGTCTACAATAGGCTCTCAGGTTGATAAGATGACTCTGGTAGGGCTCAAGTTCCTTTTTATGTGTCTGAAGGAGAATGCATGCGGTTCAGCAGGTACTGCCTAACTCGAAAGACGATGTTACATATCCATACTATGGAATGGGAGGCAGATTTTTAATTTTTTTCGAAAGTACAAATTAGACACTCCAACTATTACTACATTTATGGCTTTGCTATATTTATGGCTTTGCCTCTAATCACATGTGTGACTTTGGATCCATTCACATCATGTAAAAATCTCTGAACTATCATTTATCTGGCTGTTAATAATAAGGGCTATAAAATTAGAGTTAATATTTGCTAAAGCTTTGGCCCATATTCAAGGTTTCTAAATCAGCAGTAACTATCTTTACCAATGATCAAAAGAACGCTGGACTCACTTTCTGAAAAATCAAACCTTCTGTTTTTCCCTAATTTCTTTCTGTAACTGTGAAGTTGAGCAGGAGAGAGACAGAGCAGAGCTTTGCTGAGGGCCTTTCCCCACCACCGTTTTGCAGAAAAGAAAACCAGAGTACATAAATGCGAAACCCTTAGCACGTCTGAGGGTCCATCACGCATGAGACAGGAGGCAGGACTGGGGGTCACCTTTGACTGGTGCTAGCCCTTCAGTGCAAAACCCTGGAGCGCAGCTGATATAGGGGATGGAAGAAGGGCTTCTGTGAAAGACCCGAGAAGAGTGAGTCATGGGTAGTGTGGTCTGCTGTGCAGGGGAAGGCTAGCCTGGGGAGTGGGAATGCCGTGGGGGAGGTTGGGGAGCATGCGTGTGGGGACGTCATGGCAACAGTTTGTAGGTCTACCGGCTACAGCTTTGAGATCTCTAACTGATGCCACCCACCTGACCTTAAAACTATGTTTTCTTGTGTCTAGTAATAGCCTTCTGAAGTGCATGGGACTACGATCCCAGGAAGATTCCATTGCATGCCCTAAGTTTCCCATCTTCACTTACTGAAACCAAAGACACTCTCAAACTTACATTCGTTTAGCTCAAACAGCTGACAACAGTTAAAATATAATAGTCCCTGGGAGGACTTATTACTGACTTAAACTATTAATTAGTATTACCAATATAAGATGTGAAGTTGTTAGGTATTACTGCTTACCCGTCTCAAAACATACGTTTTATTGTATTTTAATTTTTATTTTTATTTTAAAGAGAGAGCAAGCAGGGGAGGGGGCAGAGGGAGAGAGAGAGAGAGAGAGAGAGAGAGAGAGAATCTTAAGCAGGCTTCATGCCAATGCAGAGCCCGACACAGGGCTCGATCCTGCCACCCTAGGACCGTGACCTGAGCCGAAATTAAGAGTCAGATGCTCAACCAACTGAACCACCCAGGTTGGCCCCTCAAAATACAGGGGTTTTAAAAATCTATTTAATATTTGTTAGGAGGCTACCGGTTGGCAGGTAGTTCTACTAATCTAGACCTGTCAGATTTTATCTGGGCTCGGTCTGTGGTCAGATGGCAGGTCAACTGGGAGCTGAGGGCTCCATGATAGCTAAAATGACTCAGTTCTTCTCCATGTGGCCTCACATGGAGCATGCCCCAAATACAGACTTGTTGTCATGGTGACCACAGAGAAGCCAGAGAGGGAGCAGAAACATGTAACATTTCTTGAGGTCTAGACTCAGAATTGTCACATCATCACTTCAGCCACACTGTACTGGCCAAAGCAAGTGACAAGGCCAGCCCAAATTAGAGTGAGCAGGGACTACAAAGATATTGGGCAAAGGATACGGATAAACAGAGGCCATTAATTTAATCGAGATCATCAACACCTTCAGACAAATTTTGATTCAAAGAGTAGAAAAGGGAGGATAGAGAATAAAAGTTGTGTGCATTCTTAATAATCCCATGCCTAGAAATCTTCTTCTATTATCTAGCCTTGAACTCAAGTAAATTGTACTCTTCCTTCTCATTTGTAAATCTTCGTCTTAGTTTTTCCTATACAAGTAAATCACCTCCACACATACATTTTGTTTTGCAATGGTTATAGATTAAAACTTATTAAATACTTAAAAGTAGTTTATCATTTGAGTTCAGCCAATGTCTTTTTTTCTTTTTTTCTTTTTTTTTTTTTTTTTTTTTTTTTTTTTTTTTTTTTGAGAGACCAAGAGACACAGAGGGTACAAGTGAGCAAGGGGCAGAGAGAGAGAGAGAGAGAGAGAAAGACAGAATATCCCACATGGGGCAGGAAGAGAGAGGGAGAAGGGGGCTCACCCAGGGCTTGTGTTTTACCCAAAGCAGGGCTCACATTCACCCCAAGCAGGGCTCAAGCTTACCCGATGTAGGACTTGAACTCACAAACTGCGAGATCGTGACCTGAGCCAGTCAGATGCTTAATGACTGAGCCACCCAGGTGCCCTCATTCTTTTTTTATTCTTCTAATTAAGGAGCAACTTTAGTGTTTGCATTAGTGATTTGATGGAACAGCTAAAAAGAAAGAATAAAAAAGATCAACTTTTTTTACAACTACTTTGCTGTAAAATAACCTTTTCTAGTATGACAAATTTATCAACGGGAAATATTTATTGAATCCCCACCATGAGAAAAGAACCATAATGAACACAGCACAAAACACATTTCTTTAAAAGTATATTCTGGAGGGCACCTGGGTGGCTCAGTTGGCTAAGTGTCTGACCTTGTTTCAGTTTGCTCGTCATGATCTCTCATCGGAAACAGATAGAGCCCCACATCGGGCTCTGTGCTGACAGTGTAGAGCCTGCTTGGGATTCTCTCTCCCTCTCTCTCTGCCCCTCCCCCACATGCACTCTTTCTCTCAAAATAAATAAGTAAACATTCCCAAATAAAATAAGAACGAGGGGCGCTGCTTGGGTGGCTTAGCCTGGGTTAAGCTGGCCCAACTTCAGCCAGGTCACGACCCGTCCGCGGAGTTCTCGGCTGAGCCCCAAGATCAGGCTCTGGGCTGGGATGGCTCGAGCCTGAGCCTGTTTCCTCTCACATTCTGTGCTCCCTCTGCCCTCCCTCATGCTCTGTCTCTCTCTGTCCCAAAAATAAATAAACGTTGAAAAAAAAAATTTAAAAATAAATAAAACGAAAGTATATTCTGATTATAGAAAGCATAGCTGAGGCAGCGGTGATAAAACATTGATAATATCATTTAACAATCAGTATCAAAGTTGTTGTGTTGGGCATGTTCAATGTAAACAATGTACAGTCATGGGGAGCCTGGGTGGCTCCATTGGTTAAGCATCTGCCTTTGGCTCAGGTCATGCTCTTACAGTTCGTGGGATCGAGCCTTGTGTCGAGCTCTGCACTGACAGCATACAGACTGCATGGGATTCTGTCTCCCACTCTCTCTGCCTCTCCCCTCTTTGTGCTCTGTCTCTCTGTCTCTGTCTCTCTCTCTCTCAAAATAAACAAAAACTTTAAAAAAAAAAAGGCAGAGTCATACAAAGAGGAGGAAGTGAGAGGAGGGAGAATTGAGGTGCAATCTCTGAGGTAGCACATTCTCACTATCTTCTGAAGGGAGGAAAGACATAAAGATTGGAATAAGACATAGGTCATCATGAGCAAGGGGTCAGTGTAAGTGACCTCACACCAGCATCAAGATAAGATGAAGCTCTCGAGGTGAGAAGGAATATTATCTTAGGAGTCACACAGAATGTTGCTTTTTCATAGGTGTGTCAGGCAGGGGTAGACTTCAAACTCTGGTTTACCAGAAAGCTCCAAATGACACCTGACCTGTCTGAGCTAACCACTCGCTGCGCCCATGGAGGAGATGGGAAAGCATCGGTATCTGCATTTGAGTCATTTGCTGACCCACACTTGCACGTCTCAGGCGTGGCTGTGGCCAATCACATCCCCCTGAGCAGAGTCTGAAAGAGAAACCTTCTGAGATAGCACCTTATACAGTGAGGGAAAAGCAGGCCACCTGGCTGAAAGGGCTGTCACTGGCCCCATCAGGAGTAAACTCAAAGTTCCTTCATGGTACTCCCCAGAGTTTCTTGAAGATCAGCTGACCTCTAAAAGAGAAGATCAGCGGCCTCTAAAAGATGTGGAAAAGGCAGCAGGCCATTCAAGCAAAGAGGAACATCCAGCAGATCTTACAAGCTCAGCTCCTGACCCATAAGAGCATGTTCAAGAGGAGGGAAGTGAAGCCAATGGACCCAGACCGACAACAGTAAGTGACAGGTCTCAGACCTGGAAAAAAAAAAAATAGGTGAGAAGAGGGTATTGCCTCTTTGTTATATAAAAGGTCTCTCTTTAGCATCTCAAGGACAGAAAGCCTCCACTTGAGGGAGGTCTTTGGCTGCCCATTGGGAGCATTCTCCTTGTTTATCATCAAGGGCTTGAGAAAAAACAAGAGTGATCCCACATGCTTTAGGAACCTAGGACATATTAACCTACGACACAAGCGTATTTTGCTTCTAGGGTTATTGCGTCGAAGAACTGGCAAGGTTTGAGGGTTTTTGTATTATTCAAATCGATAAAAGAGACCTCGAGTAGAGAAGGACAATGAGCAATGCTAGGAAAAGCTTGAAAAGTATGCTTGCAGTCCAGGACTCCATTTGTTCAAGAGAATTCAGTATTTTCCAGTGAAAGGAAAATGGGACAGAAAGAAAGAAAGAAGGAGGAAGGAAGGAAAGAAGGAAGGAAGGAAGGAAGGAAGGAAGGAAGGAAGGAAGGAAGGAAGGAAAGGAAGGAGGGAGGGAGGGAGGGAAGAAGGAGAGCACTGAATCCTAACCACTAGACTATCAGGGAGTATCTAAAGGAAAGGAAAAAAAAAAAAGGAAGGAAGACAGGCAAGGAGGCAAGCAGAAAGACAGAGAGAAAAATACAACAAAAGAAAATGCAATTATGACACACTTGCACTTTCGCACTTGCATGTTTGAGTTTTAAGTTCCTTTTAATCTAGAAAGATAAGTTTGGTTTTAGGTGCGATTTCATCGACTTCCTTGTAAGCAGGCACTAAGGGTGAGGTTTTTGGTGTTCTGACTTTTGCTTTGTTCTCTAGTTTACATTTTGTAAAACCTCTGGGGGAGTACCAATTATATGTGGAGGAGTTTAATTTTTTTAAAAAATTCCTCAAGAATTCCAACTCTAATTGCTTTAAAATCCCTCAAAGAATGCTGTCTTAAAAAGAAAGAGAATTTTATGGCAAGGTTGTTAGGCTCAGCCCAGACCTAGGGCAATAATAGAGAGAAAGCCTCCAGAAACACATTTAAAGGAATCACCATGGGTACACACAACACTGGGAAGACAAACATTGTCCATGAGACGTGACGGGAACAGAAAACGTAACATAAAATGTAAATGGGCTGATGAGACAAGGAACTACGTGCTTTCTTTTACTTCCAGGAGACCATGTGTAATAAGGGAAAGATGCGTGCCTTTTGATTCTGCAAAGTTGCCCTTCAATCCTAGTTTTGTAGCTGTTTAACTGGAAGTGTGGACTAGGATAAGAGACCATGTCTCTGGAGTTTGGTTGTCTTATCTCCTTATCTTCTGGAGATAAGGAATGCTATTCCCTAGCATTATTGAGGAATGCTATTCCCTAGCATTATTAAGAGGATTAAATAAGTTTCTATACATAAAGTACCAGGCATATAGGAATTTAACAAGAATTAAGTTCCCTTGCAGTCTTTATCCTCTGTCCCTGAAAAATGAACAAACACTAGAACGGAGTTTCAGAGATAAACAGCCTATGTCCCCACAGCCCCCCATGATGGTCTGGTCCAAACACCAAACCCCACCTTAATTCACAGCATTTTTGTGGGTGTGTCAGGCAGGCATAGACTTCGAACTCTGGTTTACCAGAAACTTCAAAATGACATCTGAACCCGTCTGGCTAACAGCTCACCATGTCTATGGAGATCGGGAAAGCATCTGGATCTGTACTCGCATCTCAGCCTGCTTACTCACAAACTAGGAGACATGGACGAGTTCATTAAATGGTCTGAGCCTCCGGCTTCTCTGCAAAACGCGGGCGATAAGTCCCGTACAGAGTCACTTCCAGCACTGCACACAGCATGGTAGCAAACCGACCGCCTTCACCACAACTGCGGTGACCTTTAAAAAACTCTGTCCATTTGTTACCCAATTAGGTCATCTTCTGCATTTGGGGGTAACTAGGAGAGAATATTTTGTATTTGTTGATTAGCCCTGTGCATTCTTTCCTCCACAAATTGCATGCTTATGACCCGGCTCACATCTTAAAAGGTCCTATGAGCTGAATTCTCAAGACCAGACTATCCTAGACAGCACCTGTTCTGAAGTCGGCCCAGCCTCGCTGCTCTTCACTGTTTTAAAACCCTGCAGGATGAATCTTAAACCGAAGACCGGTAATCACTGGCAATAGCTCGTGCTATTATAAATGCCTGATGATTCTGTAGAGAGTCATCATTTTTAGTGTTCTTGGTTATTACCATTGTCACAAACAGGTGAAATAAGGATCTCAACAACATGATGTCACGACTGTCAATCAGGATAGAGGGAAAAGAGCAAAAATGCTGGCTCTAGACTTACATAGTATACATAAAAAAGATAAAACCTGTGTCTCTGGGGCACCTGAGTGGCTCAGTCGGTTATGCACCCAACTTTGGCTCAGGTCAGGATCTCATGGTCCACTGGTTAGAGCCCCGTGTCAGGCTCTGTGCTGACAGCTCAGAGCCTGGAGCCTGCTTCAGATTCTGTGTCTCCTTCTCTCTCTCTCTTTGCCCCCCACCTCCCACCCCCCACCACTCACGCTCTGTATCTCTCTCCCTCTCTCTCTCAAAAATTAATGAAACATTTAAAAAACTTTTTAGTAAGATAAAATTTTTTTAATAAAAATTTACAACATTTAAAAATTTAAAAACTTGGTACTTCAAAAGACACTGTCAAGAAAGTAGGGGCACTTGGGTGGCTCAGTCAGTTAAGCGTCCGACTTGGTTCAGGTCATGATCTCACGATTTGTGGTTTCAAACCCCACATCAGGCCCTGTGCTGACAGCCTGGAGCCTACTTCGGATTCTGTGTCTCCTCTCTCTCTGTCCCTCCCCTGCTCATGCTCTGTTCTCTCTGTCTCTCAAAAATAAATAAATGTTAAAAAGCAAAATAATGAGACAACCTATAAAATGGGATAAAATATGTACAAATCACATATCTGATAAAGGACTTATATCCAGAATATATAAAGGACACAACCCAATAATAAAAAGACAACCCAATTTTTAAATGGGCACAGGATTTGAATACATTTTTCTCCAAAACAGATATATGAATGGCCAAAAAGCACAGAAGAGATGCTCAACATCATTAGTCATAGGAAAATGCAAATAAAGAAACATGAGATACCAGTTCACCAAAAAGAAAAAAAATAGTTAAATGTTGGCAAGTGTGTGGAGCGATCGGAACCTTCATCTATTGCTGGCTAGAAAGCAAAATGGCACAACCGCTTTGGAAAACATGTTGGCATTTCCTCAAAAAGTTAAACACAGCAATTTTACTCCTATGCATTTAGCCAAGACCACTGAAAATACATGTGCACACAAAACGTGTACGCAAATTTCCATAGTAGCATCATTCATAATGTCCAAAAACCAGAAACAATCCAAATATGTACCAATTGAAACATGGATCCATAAGGTGTGGTATATCCATAAAATGGAATATTACTGGCTCATAAAAGGGAAATTGTGATGCATACTACAACTTGGAGGAAACTTGAAAACATGTAGGTGAGGGAGGGGTGCCTGGCTGGCTCAACCAGTAGAGCATGCAACTCTTGATCTCAGGACCATGAGTTCAAGCCCCACATTAGGTGTGGAGTGTATTTAAAAACAACAACAACAACAACAAAAAGGTGAAAGAAGCCAGTTACAAAAGATTACATATAGTACCTCCCATTTATATGAAATATCCAGACTAGCTAGATACTTTCTATCTCTACGCGAAATGTTTCATCCATAGAGACAGAAAACAGTGGTTGCCCAGGGCAGAGAAGCAGGGAGGTAGGAGGATGGAGATTAACTGCCAATGGTTACAAGGTTTCTTTTTGACGAGGAAAATGTTCCAAAAGGAGATGAGGTGAAAAGACAGTACCTCTGTAAACATGCTAAAAATCACTAAGCTAAATACTTTAAACAGGTGGACTTGATGTTATATAAACTATACGTTAAGGTGTTTTTTTACTCTTCAAAAATAGTTCCTGTAACTAAGGCCCTATGATTTTACTATAAATGTTGGTAACAATAATTATAACAGCTTATTATACAGCTGTTATATTATAGATTATAATTATAAATTATAAAAGCTTATTATGTTTCAGGCAATATTCAAAGTCTTTACAAATACTAATTCACTTTCCTGACAAACCTGGTAGGCAAAGACCATTATTATTACCATTTCACAGATTAGAAAACTAAGCTATTAAGAGGCATTATAAGAATTCAAACATAGAGGGGCACCTGGGTGCCTGAGTCGGTTGAGCAGTGGACTCTTGATTTTGGCTCAGGTCATGATCTCACGGTTCTTAGGATCGAGCCCTGTGTGAGGCTCTGTGCTGACAACATGCAGCCTACTTGAGATTCTCTCTCTCTCTCTCTCTCTCTCTCTCTCTCTCTCTCTAATTACACACAGGTGCTCTCTCTCAACATAAATATTTAAAAAAGAAAACAGAATTCAAACACAGAGAGTCTGTGTTTTTAAATAAAATATATACCTGCTCCTGTAATCCAACAGCAAAATATGGGGAGGAAATCCCTGAAATTCAGAGAACTGGGGAAATTTTAAAATATTGTAACAAACAGGGGCACCTGGCTGGCTCAGTCAGAAGAGCATGTGACTTTTGTCTCCAGGTTATGAGGTCAAGCCCTATGGTGGGTATAGAGATTACTTACAACTAAAAAAAAAAATAAAAAAAAAAATCTTTAACATAAAATAAAATATAATAAACGACAGAGCTTAAGAAAGTTAAAGCCTAAGAGCAAAATAATTTTTTTTTAGTTACTTCACACAACAGCAGTGGAAAATGAAAGGCTGTAGATGACATGGCCATGTCCCTCTCTTGTCCTACATGAAAACAATATTAGTGGCTCAGTCGGTTAAGCGCCTGACTTCACCTCAGACCATGATCTCGCAGTTCGTGGGTTCGAGCCCCATGTCGCATCCTCTCTGAGAAGGGCTCATGACTTCAGAGGAG